TAAAATAGCATAGCTATAAATAGATTCTTTGTTTATTATAAATGTAAATTCTATAGTATAAAATAAAGTTGTGACATAATCGTCAAAAAAAATAAAAATAAAAAAAAATTATTAAATTTATTTTAATAATTGTTAAGATATTTTAATTTAAAATTTAAAAAACTTTTACTTATTAACTTTTAGCCCTTTTCTACTAACAAGCCCTATATATTAAATGCAGTTCAAAACTACTTAGATAATAAAAAAGTATGCATAAGTATATATTTAAAAACATGATATAATTTAGAGATAGCTAAAAGTGATTTGAAGTATTTTTAAATAAAAGTTTAGTATTGTAAATATATCTTTTTTAATAATAAAAAAAAAAATAAAAGTATAAAATTACCATTATATATATCTCTTAATATATAGGCCAATACAGACAAATTTGCTTATATTTTTGTATTTTTTTAGCTCTAATCTACTTTTTTAAAATGCTAAAATATTTAAATAAAACTTTGTACAATTATATTTGAAAATAAAATGTAGCAATATAGTAAAGTGGTAGAGTTGTCATATCCCAAGCTAGCTTGTAACTAAAATACTAAAATTGAATCCTATTTATACTTGTTGGCAAAACTATAAATCTTCAAAATCCCAAATCCCAATTGGATAAATCTAAATTCCAAACTAGACAAATTCCAAATCTATCTCAAATCCCAAATCTATTTCAAATCCCCCCAAATTTCAAATCCCAAATCCAAATCCCAAATTCTACCCAAATTCCAAATCCAAATTCCAAATCCAAATTCCAAACTCAAATCCCAAACTCAAATCTTTGTTTTTGAAATTTGGAGTTTTTTAAAGAAAAACTTTTTTTTTTACTAAATAAACATCCTTTCAACTTTTAAATAAAGTTGTAAAAGAGTGTCTTGCAATAAAAATAGCAGTTAAAATATTAAAATTAGTCTAGTAAATTATGAGATATAAGTATTTTAGTTTTTGTGACTATATGTTTGCTTTTTTATTTATATAAATTTTAGAAAACTTCAAATTTTAAAGACAAGATTTGGGTTTGGATTTTGAGTTTGGATTTTGGGTTTAGGTTTTGAGTTTGGAATTTGGGATTAGAATTTGAGATTTGGAATTTGTAATAGGTTTGGGATTTGTAATAGATTTGGAATTTGGGATAGGTTTGGGTTTTGAAATAGATTTGGGTTTTGGGTTTGGGTTTTGTTCAGTTTTGCTATATAGTTAAGCGACTAAGCGACTAAGCGACTGAGCGACTAAGCGACTGAGCGACTAAGCGACTGAGCGACTAAGCGACTAAGTAACTAAGCGACTGAGTGACTAAGCGACTAAGCAACTGAGCGACATGTTAATAATAATACAAGATAATAATAATAATATTCTAATTAATAAATAATAAATAATAAAATAATAAACTAATAATTAATTCGTTCTATAACAATATAAAGAAAGTAACCATATTTTGATTTGAAGCTCGTCATGAACATATTGCTAAAGAACTAAAAGATCTTACTACCAAAGTTGCACTCACCACTGATATTTGGAAATCAAGTACTAATCAAACATACCTAGCTGTAACTGTCTATTATATCGATAACAAATGGAAGATGAATCGTTTCTTGCTTGATCTTACACGCATCAAGTATAGCCATACTGCATTGCATATAAAAGAGATTCTAATAAATATTTGTAACAAAATGAATATTAATAGTAAAGTAATTGCTTTAACAACAGACAATGCCACACCAATAGTTTCATGTAGAAATTTAATAGAACAAGAGTGGAACGTATCTAAATTTCATCACCATCATTGCGCAGCCCATATTCTCAATATTGCTATAAAACATAGTATGAAGTGTCAAAACAAAGTAATTAAAAAGGCTCAAAAAATAATTAAAAAAGTTCGGGATTCAACAGTTTTAAGTGATAACTTCAAGATTTCTGTAAAATAAATAATAAAAAATATAGTAAGCCAATAATCGATATAGCTACACAATGGAATAGCACTTACTATATACTTCGTCGATTTAAGGAAATACAAGATGAATTAAATCTTCTTAAAACTGCTCATCCAGAACTTGAAAGCAGTTACCCTAACATAGAAGAGTGAAAAGTTATTGACAATATGATTTATCTATTAGAACCAATGCTTGATGCAACTGAAATACTCTCGAAGAGTTCATATCTAGCTATTGCTGACATTCATTTGACTTTTATAGCTATCTTGCAACATATTAATCACTTTACAGCTAATAACTCGCATTTAAAAGAGGAATATAAAATGGCGAACCTTATTAAAACCACATTAAATAGATATTGGACTCTTCTTGACCTTAATGAATCAATAAAAATAGCTACAATTCTTGATCCTATATCCAAATTATTAACATTTCCCTCAACTAATGAGAAAGAAATTGCTATTGCTAATTTACAAAATATAATAGCTTAGTATGAACTATTAGTATTAATAACAAGTACTACTTCTACATCATTTGACAATAAAAGAAAAAAATTCGTGGCAATAATATCGCAGCAACATACAATCGAACCAGGACTATTAGTAGCAGGAGAATTAGAAAGGTATTTGTCTTTACTAGCTATTGATAATGGATCTCTTCAATGGTGGGCTAATAATGAGAGCAGATTCCTAAAACTTGCAAAGATAGCACAAGATTATCTTGCAATTCAAAGTACAAATGTTCCTTGTGAAGAAGCATTTTCTACTGCAGCAAGAACAATTTCAAAGCTACATAATCGTCTCAGTTCTAAGACTGCTCGTGCCTCACTCTGTTTAAAAAGTTGGATGAAAAATAGTGTTGAAGTATAATCTAAGTTTAAAGTTCATATACAATTAGAAAAATATAGAATACATGGAATAACTCAAAATGCAGAAACTGGTCAATACGGTCAATACATTATTGCAATTAATTTTTATAATGATAAAAGAAAGTCTGCTAATGGAATATGTGAATACTGTAAAAGATTCAACACCAATCTGGCAATGATTAATTAATTATCTACCGATCAATCGAATATGTGATGGCACATGATTCGAGATAAAAGCCGCAGCTATTATTCATTTAAAATTTAAAAATGCTTAATTAAGTTCTTTATACTTACATTTTAAATGAAACTAAACTAGCATGAATAAATTAGTAAAATATTCATGAACTTCAATTGCTCACTTACATTTTAAAATAAATTTAGTAAATGTTTAAAGTTCAAAAAAAAAGAAATTGATGATTTCTGATTGCCGATTTCTTTCTGATATATACATATATAAATATAGTAATACATATTTATTTAACATATGATTTTTTTAAAAAAAATTATTTCTAATGGCCAAAATTATTATTCGAAATATTTATTGTAATGAAAAAAATACTCCAATAAAAAAAAATATACTGAAGCTCTTTATACTTTTACCTTGAAATTTTATGATTCAGTAATAAACAATTAATTTTGGTGCAACATTTAAATTTTCTTTTTGCTTATCATACAATAGTAAATTTTATCAGCTAGAAAAGAAACAAAATTTAATATTACACAATCAAGCCCTTTACAACATGATGAATATGCAAATTACATTCCTACAAAGATGCTAAATCAAGGTATATTACAAAATAATAAATATACAACTTTTATTTCTGCAAAAAAATGTTAAAAAAATCGACAATCAGGATCAGAAATCCTCGAATTCTTTTTTTTTTTTTGAACTGCAAATTTCACATAATTTTATACTTATCAGCTTTGATGATTTAATAACTATTCATTATGGCAGATCGGTGGAATTGACCCTTTTAAACAGACCCTAAATTAATCATTTTAAGGATAATAATAATCAGAGAATGACATTTTTTATTATGATTAATAAAATGAATAATGTTAAATTTATGACAAATTTAGAACATCTAAATAAGTCCAATTCATCCACTAGAATGTATTGCGGTTTGTACAGTATAATTTTGTGCTCCCTATCACTATGATTGATTTGTGATTACTAAAGCCGGCCAAACTTATCATAAATCTGTGTTTGTGTTAAACACAGATTTATGATAAATTTGGCCGGCCTTAGCAATCATGATCATAATCACAATTATTTATTCATAAATATTATACAATTTTATATAAATTATTATAGTAGTTTGTCAAAACATCTACATTCGAGAATCAAAAATCTGTTGATTTTTGTATTTTACATGATTTGCAAATATCACATCTTGCAAACTCATCTTTATAAAAAAGTCTTGTATACAGCAAATAAAAATTTAATATTACCTATTTTAATCAGGCTAACTGGATAATCCGAGTATTTTTAACAGTCTAATTTTGCACCCAAGTAAGATTTTTATATGCAGGTGGTACCCTATTGTTTAAATTTATGCTGAGTCGAATCTCTATTTATTCTTGGGTCATGTAACCGGCTCCGAGCCGGCTCGAAAGCCGCAGCTAAGCCAGCTCACTATAAGCCGATCTCATCCCTAGCTATATATTTACTAAGTAAAAAATTTATTTTAAAATTTATTTTATTAACTTTATTAAGAAATTTTTTTAAAATATAAAAAAACTTTTAAATAATAAAGTTTAAAATTTTTTTTCAAATTTTTTATTATAAAATTTTTTCTTTAGAGTTTCTAAATTTTATATATTTTTGCCTATAAAAAAATCTTTACTTCTAATACAAGTCTTAATTTTTACAAGTTAATCAAATAATAAAAGTTGTAATCCTTAATTTAAACTTTAATATTGTATTAAGAATTATATTTTTAAAATCAATATTTA